TTATTTGCTGAGAGCAGTTTTTGTTTTTACCATAAATGAGTATTTAGTTTCGTCAAGTGATGCAAAAAACTGCATCAGGCAATCTGGTCATAGATTTTTTCTTTCACCTGTGGATAAGGTGTATTACATTGGTTGATTTTCAAATACCAGATTAGCCTTGCATCTTTTGAATAAATCACCTTGGGTTGTGGTGTATTATTCATTTCATATAGTGTTGGATTCAATTTGCTAACATTTTGTTAACGATTTCTGTGTCTATGTTCATGAGAGATAGTAATCTATTGGGGTTTGAAGTTATTTTCATCCTGTCTTTGTATGGTTTTGGTATCATAAAACAAGTTGAAAAGCCTCTTCTGTTTTCTGGAGAAGATTGTATAAAGTTGTTTAAACATTTGCTAAAATTCTCCAGTGAGATTATCTGGAACCGGGAATCTTCTCTGGCGGGGGGTGGGAAGTGGGTTGTGTGTTAAAATTACAGATTCAGCTTCTTTAATGGGTACAGGGCTGTTCAGGTTATCAAATAATTAACAGATTAGGGCTCATGTCTGCTGTGTTTTGTCTTGTTTCCTTTGCCTTTTTTTTTTTTTTTTAACCTTCCAATGAATACAGTACATTTTTTTAGAATTCAATCTTGATTTACTGATAATGTCTTGGGAAATATCACTAGGTATAGTTTTTGTAGTGGTTGCTCTAGGTATCACAGCACGCAGATGTAACTTCTCACAACCTATTTGCGTGGATGTTTTACTGCTTCAAGGGGAGTATCACAGAATTCTTTCATGTAGGTGCTTTTACCCTCCCCATTTTTTATATAGTGATGGTCGTATTTCCTGTATGTGCAGTAAGCACTACATCGACGATGTTATGATTTTTGTTTTAACCACCAAATATAATTTTAAAAACTCAGTGAGGGATCGTTTACTATATTTTTCTATTTTACCTATTCTGTTGTTCTTCCTTCCTTCTGAAGGCCCCAGCGTTCTTGTGTTATTTTCTGTTTGAAAGCTTCCTTTAGCCAAACTTTAAAGGGGGGAAGAGTTCACTGGAAACAAAGTCTCTTAGATTTTTCATCACCTGAGAATGCCTTCGTTTCTCTCATCCCCCCCACCCACCAAAGAATGGTTTTGCTGGGTGTAGGATTTGCTGCCCAGCGGGGCTCCTTGTTCCTCTGGATTGACAAGCCCTCCACCACCACCAGGTGAGCCAGGCACCATCAACCAGAAGCCCCGCCTCCATGGATTTTATCTCCTTCAGTCCTGAGGCCCTGGAATCCAGCTCCCGATGAGTATGTCCAGGGAGAAGGCAGTGTGAGAAGTGCCTGACACGGGGAGCCAATTTCCAAAATACAATGGTAGGTAATAAATAATACCAAATGTTCAAAAGAAGCTTTAGGACGGCGACGTCCGGTAATTATTTAATTTTATATTGTTTCCTATGGTGATCTCTCTCCTTTTCTTATACCATCAGTAAAAGGTGAAACACTAGAATCTTACCTTAGAAAATAAGATAAAGGCGTGTCTTCACCTGGGGTAAAGCTGGGAAAGACAACTGGACCACCGGAGGCGAGATGTGGCTAGGACGGATAATGATCGAGATGAGAAAAATCTGAAAACGCCCCCCCCATCCCCCATTCATTTCCCAGAATTCTCAGAAACACCAAAAAAGATGCTGGGCTTTCTAGAGATATGGAGATGTGGAGGGAGGCCTTGAGTCCTTCTATTTGAAGATTATAAGCTGTGACTCAGTGGGGCTGGAGGATTCAGGGCTGTCTGGTTACACCCTCCAGTTGTATGTGTGTTCATACAACTTTCTTTGTGGCATATGTGATGTGTCAGGAGCTTTGCATGGGGCTAGGGGCACAGCGAAGGATGTGGACGTGGTCCCTGCTCATGGAAAACATAGTCTAGACCAGTATTTCTCTCATGTGGACTATTTGCATCAGAATTAGTTGGAAGATTGTTAAATGGATTTCAGGGTCCCTCCAGGATCTGAAAACCAGGCCCCCCCTGCGTTGGGGACGGGGAATCCGTATTTCTGACAAAAAGCAATTCTTCAATTATGGAAACATCCATAAAACCGGCCTTAGTTTACACAGCCGCATTCCCACTGTTTTACAATCGCATGATCATTTCTGAAAAGTTGAAAACAAAGTTAAAGAATATTTCAGGGGTTAAGAACAAAAAGCCCGAGGAACACACAAGATCATAAAAACCCTTCCAAACAGGAGGCGTACTTGGAAGGAAACCTCACACGCAAGGTTCCTACGTGGAGCCCAGAGCCCAGGTCCTGACGCGAGCACAGGTTTAAGAGATGGACTTGGAGTGTGTGCTTTTCCGTTTGTTTTCCACCCTATTCAGTGTGTTCACAGCAGGTCCCCTGGATGAGACCACTCAGCCTTCAGCCCCAGAGGCGACCCAGGCCGTCCTTGCCAGGTCCCTGTCCCGGACTGGCGCCCCGCGGCAGAGGTTCCACCCCGTCCCTCCGCTCCTCGCCCCGCTTTCCCCCTTTCCCTCCCCAGCTAGAACGTTCTGAGAGCTAGCAACGTTCTCTAGGAGGTCGCTTTGACGTCCACACCGCGCCTGCGGGATTCGGGGACGCGGGGAGCACAGGACCCTGGGACGCAGGACCCTGAGACGCAGAGGTCGCTCCACGCCCGGGGCTGCCTCAGCTCTGCCGACACTGCAGCAACTCAGAACCTAGGCAGGGGCCGGGCAGCGAGCCTGCTGCCCCCACCCTCACCTC